CCCACTAGCAACTCCTAGTATAGGGTGAGACTCAGAACATGCACGCCGACCCCAATCCTTAGCTCATATCATCCACATGATTGGCCTCTAGGCCGCCCGCCAGATCCATGCTCTTACTGCCCCACCATCCCTCCCACCCATTATCTCAATCCGGGAAAGAAGGGACCGGGGAGAAGAAACCATGATGCAGCCACGGAGCACCGGGCGGAAAGAAGAGAGAGAGAAGAGAGAGAAAAAAAAGGGCTTTCTCACCAACCCTCACCCCCCAGCCCCCTGCCCCCCCCACACACACCCCCCTACTTCTTCTTCACACTGCCACATCCCTGCCTTCCACTCTCTCCAAGCCTTCAAGGTCTATTTTCTGTAAGTCTAATTTCTTGCAGAAGTCATTGAGATCTTCTGGGAAGCTCAGCCTTGCCGATTTTCCATCTTTCCATCCAATTAAATATGCTGGAAAGCCCCAGTTATATTGAACTTTTTTTCTCTCTCGTGTGCTCCAACAACGGTTTCAAAGTTCTTTTAGCCAGTGTCTCTAGAGCAATGTCTGCAAAAATATGCAAGTTTGTTTCCTCATATTTTATTTCGGTAGAGTCACGTAAACCTTTCCATATTCTCTCTCTGTCTTCAAAATGATGAGATCGAACTATCACGTCTCCAGGGCTTTCCACCTGTATTCCTTTTGGCCCTCTAATCCTATGTACTCTCTCAATTTTTTACTTTTCTGTCGCTGATCTTCCCATTATTGAATTACACACTCTCCCGTAGATCCTCTTCCTGTTCCTTTTCTTCTGGCAGACCCCTGATCCTTAAGTTATTTCTTCTATTGCGATTCTCCTGGTCTTCCACTTTAAATGAGAGCTTTCTCTGTTCTTTACGCAGCACTTCCACTTGCGTTTCTAATTTATTGATTAATTGCGTGTATGCCTCCATTCTCTCTTCTCTAATTCTTTGACTCGAGTTAGTATCCAACCCAAGTCATTACGTAAAGTCCCCATCTCACTTTTCATGGACATCTCTAGTTTTGCAAAGATTTCCGTCATTAGGTGGTGCTCTGCAATTGCATCCCTCCTCCCCATGTGACATATCCTATACTACAGGATATGATTGAATATGGCAGTTTTAATCTGTAAAGGATTCTAAAGTATTGAACTGAGCAGACTCACTGGATATGTGACATAATTTGCTTTTTCTCTTATTTTGTCTTATTTTTGTTTTTTTATGTAATAACGACGCATTAATGGATAATCATATTGTATACATTAGAAATTAGAAAAAAATAAATAAAGGGTTTGCTCACACTTTGGCCTTTGGAGAGCGATCAACATTCATATTGCTCTTCAGAGAGCATTTGACAGGCAGTAAGGAGGCATTGTATCACCTCCTCGCTGTTTGATTTAACCCCTGTAATCCTAGCATGCCGTAACCATGTGCTTTGCATGCATGCAGTTGCTGGGCGTTTGCAGAGCAGCACCATTCACTGGAAAGGGTGGCTTTCAAATTGAAGTATAATTCATGCCAAGGCTGTGAAGCAAATAATGATGGCAGCAGCTTGTGTACAGCCCCAGGTACTGCCTTTACAGCTGAAGGGGACAGCAGTTGAGGCACACAGGGGGTGCCAGACTGCCTCCTCCTGGCCATCATAATTTAACCACACCCACTTTTAAACCACACCCACTTTTCCATTGTGGAATTAAGCACACTGCAGGTCTGGGTCCCCCCCAAAGTGTCCCTCATTCCTGTATGCAACCTCACTCAGCACCATCTTGGATACACTCCCAGGGTTCAGATTTTTAAAATATCGGTTTTTAGTTTCCTAGCACTGCCCCCTTTCTTCTACCAGGTGCAACATGGACATTTTAGTTTGCCTCACCCACCCTAGCCAGTGAGGGGAAGCAGGGAAGGCTTAACCCCACCCACTCATTGCACATTGCTGTTTAGTGGCACAGCTCAAATTTTCAATGCTGTTGGACATCATTCATACTGCGCCCAATCATGGAACCAAGCAGTACTAAGGGTGTAGAGGTACTCACACTGTCCTTGTGCTGCAGCACAAGGATCTGCTTTCAGGCCTTTCGCTGGGCTGGTTCCTTTCCAAGCTATGTAGTCTGTCTTTCCCTAGTGGACTGCAGGGCAGTAGAGCTACCTCCTTCAGCTTTACTCCTTCCTCTAGCCTAAAGCCTGGAGACAGAACCCCTCTTCCCCTGGACCCCCTCCCAGGCTACATAGCAGAACTTTACTCCTCCATCGTCCACCCAAATCCCCTGCTGGCCAGGTTCTGTCATATTTATGGGCTGGTCTTCCACACTGCCAGGCCTCCTGTCTGGGATTGGTCAGACCCCCCTTCTCTAAGCTTCTAAAGCAGAAGGCGGTACCAGAGGACTGACCTGCAGAGCCCTCCTGCTTAACATGAAGTGACCCTCCATCTAAACCCAGGCTGCTAGCAAGCCTCTAGCTACTCCCAACAAACTATGCACACTAGAAGGCGCTACACTAATATTAATATAATAGGTAGTGTTGTTCTTTAGTAAACCTGTCATAATATCAATCACACAAATGAGGAACTTTATTCCTTTCCTTCTAGATGCTTTATGAGTAAATATATAGATGCCCATTTATCCCTGTTCATCTTAATAAACATTACACATTTGTGCAAGATAACTAGGCTTCATTAACTTACATTATAAAAGTTATTTTCTATCATTTATAACAATCTAATTTTTAATCTGCAATGAAAAAATACAAGGGTGTTCATAAACAAATGCAAGCTATCGGTAAAACCAGTTTTTACATAGACAAGACCACAGTTTTTATCTTACAGTCTGCTGATTTTTTTTTTTAACTCTGACATGAATATAATGAAAGTAATGCACAAAATGTATATATCTTTATTTTCAGAAGTTCAGTTACAACTGAGGAGCAGAGAATGAGGCTTATTAACTAAAGGAGTTGAGAATCAGTAAATGCTGTGAATATTTACTTTACAATCATGTGATAAACAAAATCCTGTTCAGTTTAAATACTAAGTATTGTGCGGATGAAATAAGTAAGGAGGAATTTGCTTTTAACATGTTTAGATAAGTGATATAAATATTCACACAATTTATTGTGTGAATATTCTCAACTCATTTAGTAAATCTGCTCAAGCTAAGCCATTTTCAATAAAACATATTTATAAACGTTCAAGATAATGAAAATACCATGTATTTTATGCTTAGAGCAATTCCATTGCTTTTAAAGGGAGAAAAACTAACTGCAACATTAAGTATTTATGTGTATGCATATATAATAAGCATTATTTAAAGATTCCCCCACATGCAGAGAGAAGGCTTTTCATAATAAAGTGTAAATAATCAAATATTGAATATGTTTGGTAACACTTTCTGAATATTTACCATGCAACTGTTTACCTGCAAAGGCTTTAATATACCTGTAGAAAACATTAACATGTAAACTTTTATTAACCTAATAAATCACTTTCATTTATCTTAAACAGTTAAATAGTTTTCACCTTGCCTCAAGTAAATTACATTTTCTGCTTTCCAACTTTTTAATTTTATTTTTCAATGAAACTGATTTTGATATCAAAGTGGGAGTAATTAATTCTTCTCTGATTGACCTCCAATTGAAGTAACAAATTGAAAAAGGTATCAAAGGAATTTTATAAATTAACTTATTTTAAAAGGTATTTTACATTTATAATAAAATCATGTCTGATATTATTTCTCTTCAAAGACACACTATGGAGCCACCTAGTGCATACAGGTGAAAGCCACGATATGTGATTTTATCAGAACACAAATTTACTGTTGTTTAGTTTCTATTTACTACAAAGCCTTTTTCTATTTAACATTTAGTTACATTTTGGGTAAACGTAGTAGAATAGCATTTGAGAAATGTTTTAAAATATTACAAATTTGGGTTATTTTTATATAAAAAATTAAAAATCGGGTTCTGCCATTTTGAAACATTATGATTTTATAAAAAGAATTCAACATTAAGACATAATTTTTGTTTAAAGTGGTGCTAAACCCACAACAGTAAAATCAGTCTGTATATGCAGTAAAGCATGCTTGTTATACTCACTGTGGAACCTAAGGGGTTAATCCTCCACATTGTGTAAAAAGGCTGTTTGATCCTGACTTCTCTGATCCTTTCTTTTACTGTCCCCATTCCATCTGCTGATAGTGTGACGATCGCGACGTCAGACCCCAGACCTTCTCACCAAACTCGTGACCGAAGGTCTAGCCATCTAAAACCATGATGTTATGTGCGTAACAATGCCACGCCCAGCTGCACCCTGCACAATGATTTTCCAGCTCACTGGACCACAAATCGATGTACCGGCAGCCTGAGCGCGATTGTTACTGTGTCAGGTTAATTAAGCAATTAACCCTTCACACTGCCACAATCGCGCTCAGGCTGCCGGTACATCGATTTGTGGTCCAGTGAGCTGGAAAATCATTGTGCAGGGTGCAGCTGGGCGTGGCATTGTTACGCACGTATCGTAACAATGCCACGCCCAGCTGCACCCTGCACAATGATTTTCCAGCTCACTGGACCACAAATCGATGTACCGGCAGCCTGAGCGCGATTGTTACTGTGTCAGGTTAATTAAGCAATTAACCCTTCACACTGCCACCATCTCCTTTTTGTACAGAGAAAGAGGAAACTTGGCAATATCAGCAATAACACTAGGATGATTGGATTAATCGTCTGTATACCACTGTCACCGCAGACAGGTTATACAGAGGGTTAAACACACATGGTAGCGCTCTTCAGCGGCAGGAATTCGTAAGTTGCATTAAAGAGCTATAGAAACAGTTCAACACCTTCAGCAAGAAAAGATTTATTACTAAAAGATCAAAAGGGTGCAATAAAAATATATACAGAAAAAAGATGTAATCAATATATATATAAATATACAGAAAGCAATAACACAGCAAGAAGGTAACAGAAGTTTAGGTAGATAAGTACTTGCCAAAAAGCTTGGGTTAAGCAGATCAAGTATCAGAGCAAAAGGGCACCGTCTCCCAAGTTGGTTTTGATGTTAAAAGGGAGATTTCTTCAACTTCCACTCTTAGGCCTGACAGCCTATTTTGAAGTCCCCCAGCAGGGGGTGTCTCTGAAGCCAAGGACCAATGCCTTATTTGGGGAGGGGGTGTCTAGGAGGAGACCCAAGCTAGAACCAAAATCTCTCATATTGTCAGGGACCATCGCGACGCATAGGTCTGCACATGCGTAGGTGTCTGTCAAGACATGCGGGCAGCAGGGCACTAGGACCCAGGCGCACCCGGCACCTATGACGGTGCTGGGCAGGCACTAAGACCTAGTCTGCGCCTGTCAGGTGCAGGGCGGGCTACCTAAACCAGCCCTGCACAGACACAAGTTGCCGTACGGTCTGATCTTTGCTCCTGTATTCCTGTGTTCCTGCTATTTGAGATTCTTTGCTGACCTTGCCTGAACCTGACCTCTGCTGACTTCTCCTGCTCTAACCCCCTGGCTAGTTTGACCTCTCTTCTGGATAATCCTCATACCTGATCTGAACTTCTGTTACTGACCCCAGCGAGTGACCTGACTATTCTTCTGCCTGCTGCCTTGTACTACGCTGATCCCACTGTTACCGACCCGGCCCGTTTGACCACGCTTACTACTCCGCCATCCATCCATCCCGCTCGGATCCCGTCTTCCACCTCTTCACGTCAGGCTCTCTACCTGCACATACCCCTGGCGGATCTCTCTACCACGGACGGGTGTACTCAGGGGCCGCGACCTGGTCCCTGTCTGCTCCAAGCCCATCCCCACCATCAGGGGCCCTGGTGAACAAGTAGACTGGGGCTTAGTAGCAATAGTGGTGTGACCCTCCTGCGCTCCAAATGTGTGTTTAAAACAAACTAAATTAATATATGAACCCCAAACAGCTGCTAGCATTAAATACCAGTGATCAAGTAAATATAAACCATATAAATGCTGCGCTACATTCAAACTTATTTAAGTGAATGTGGAATCCAATAACTCAAATCAAAATAGTGACAATAATAATGAAAATAAATAATATGTGCTTAATGATAACAAAATTAACAAATAAACCACCCAAACTAATGAAAAAGCACAAACTTAAATCTATACGTATGTGCATGAGAAATACACATACATATATTACATCACACGTGCACAATGTGAAGTGAAATGATGACTAAATAATAAACGCAAACTCAAAGTCCAATAATGAAATGTTGAAGGTGAACAAAACTGTAAACGGTGTTTCCAATAATACTGTAAGGTGACCACAAGTGAAACAAATCGTGCAGATATCTGGGTGTAGATAGAGCTTATGAATCCAACCACCTTCTGGATTAGCCTCTCACCTCATCACTTCGACCCTTGCGGGTCAAAGAGCAGTAATGGATCCCTCTCACAGATCCTCCAGGCACCACAGCACTCCAAAACCACTTTTCAGGATTTAGTATTCCCACTCAGGCTCTTCTCCAAGTATAGGTGAAATATCAATTTCTCAGAACAAAAAAGAGGAATCCTCCCATAGTGTAGTATGTTTTATTATACCATAGGAACATAAAATCTTTGGTAAAATTGCACTTACGTAGCAGCCAGTCCACATTAGACCCTCATGCTCTCAGATGAGGATATATCTATGTTTGTTGGGTGTACAGCTGAATACACAGGTGTACCAAGATGGCCGCCACGCCGGAAATACGTCACCGCGCTACGCCGACGCGTTACGTCACAATGTCACGTGACTTCATCAGGGCTGTCCCTGATGAAGTCACGTGACATTGTGACGTAACGCGTCGGCGTAGCGCGGTGACGTATTTCCGGCGTGGCGGCCATCTTGGTACACCTGTGTATTCAGCTGTACACCCAACAAACATAGATATATCCTCATCTGAGAGCATGAGGGTCTAATGTGGACTGGCTGCTACGTAAGTGCAATTTTACCAAAGATTTTATGTTCCTATGGTATAATAAACATACTACACTATGGGAGGATTCCTCTTTTTTGTTCTGAGAAATTGATATTTCACCTATACTTGGAGAAGAGCCTGAGTGGGAATACTAAATCCTGAAAAGTGGTTTTGGAGTGCTGTGGTGCCTGGAGGATCTGTGAGAGGGATCCATTACTGCTCTTTGACCCGCAAGGGTCGAAGTGATGAGGTGAGAGGCTAATCCAGAAGGTGGTTGGATTCATAAGCTCTATCTACACCCAGATATCTGCACGATTTGTTTCACTTGTGGTCACCTTACAGTATTATTGGAAACACCGTTTACAGTTTTGTTCACCTTCAACATTTCATTATTGGACTTTGAGTTTGCGTTTATTATTTAGTCATCATTTCACTTCACATTGTGCACGTGTGATGTAATATATGTATGTGTATTTCTCATGCACATACGTATAGATTTAAGTTTGTGCTTTTTCATTAGTTTGGGTGGTTTATTTGTTAATTTTGTTATCATTAAGCACATATTATTTATTTTCATTATTATTGTCACTATTTTGATTTGAGTTATTGGATTCCACATTCACTTAAATAAGTTTGAATGTAGCGCAGCATTTATATGGTTTATATTTACTTGAGACTGGGGCTTAGACTCCGCACCCTGGGGAATCCTGTCCTGTGGACTGCTAGAGGCCCCGCTAAGCAGCTACTAACACATAGCTTATCTTTTGGCTCATAACTTTTCCTAGGCACAAGTAACATTCCACCCGCGGGTAGATTAATATGCAGACGCATCTGCGGAACGGTTAGATATGAAATATGAAATACATACTTGAATGGTTCAAAAGATGTAATTTTCTGCTTTCCTATATATTCCAGCCAAAGAGTGTGACATATCAAACAGTTTGTCTTACCGAGACCAATCTGAAGATATGCCTGGTTTTTATGTAAGTCTCTCATATTCTAAGATATGAGACATAGGGGGAAAATGGATTTTAAAAGTGGTATCTAGTTTATGACTCCTCTGGAATGTCTTTGAACTCAGGGGAAGGCTTGGGTTATCCTTTTACAAGGTGCCAGATTGCACAGTTTCTTAGACAGCCCGGCACCCAGCTCAGAGAGGTTTTATAGCTCGGAGCTTTCTGCTGTGCTCTGGCCTGCCTGTGACACTTCCAACACACACCGACGACATGTCACTGTAGATCTCAGAGAGGGAGGGGGATGAGGAAAGATATATTTGTACAAGATGGATGATCCTTTGCCAAGATGGAGGTTGGAGCAAAATGGTTGAACCGCATCCATCTCTGTGGGTACGATTGCTACAGATAGCACAGAGCAATAGGAGTCATGCTGCACATGCTCAGTTTAGTGTTTATGGCTAGAGAGTTTTTTTTCTTCTTTGGGAGAGGTCATGTGATCAGCACAGAGCCAATCAGCACTGTCCGGACAAAGGGTCAGGGGTCCTGCAGTCTCATAGGACAATCAGGAGAGAATGAAAACTCCTCCTACAAGCTTTAACTAGTGCTTTGCTGGACACTGATAGAAGTCACCATTCTAACTACTGATGAGAAAAGGTATTTAGCAGTTTATATTTACTAAAATTGCATTTCCACGTTCTGTACTGTGGGAGACCAGATATAGTGAATGCAGGGTCCTGGGTTTAGTAACACTTTAAAACATGAATTGTCACATTGGCACAAAGAAATATACATTTCAGCTAAATTAGTTTATCTTTATAATGGAAAATTAAATGGACAAGCGGCTGCTTCTCTTTGCACTGAATGAACATGGATTCATTGCAGCATACCCAGTATATTTTAGAGCTTTAATCCTTCCTGCACAGACTCAGAAAGGCTGTAAAGGAAAGTGGGTGGAAAATCCTAAAGTTTGCCACTCTTAGCAACACAGGGGCTGATTTACTGTTTCAAACAGGTACCTCAAAGACACCTAAATGGACATGCAACTGCATTTATAAAGCTCAAAATGTCTGTCGTTTATACAATGTAGCAGTTCGGGGTAGAAATGCCAGATCCATGACAATGGTTTTAAGTTTGCCTGCGGCTTCTGAACATCTGCCAGCTAGGAAGCAGCAGTCATCTTTTTAAAGCTAAGTTTCTATATGAATAGGTTGCTTTTCAAGCAGAAGATTGATAACTTTGTAATTACAAAAAGTGGTATACCTCTTATAATTGCAAACTACATCTTATGTTGGAGTATTTCTGACACATGCCAGCACATGTCACATGTCTGCCACTGTGAAAGATGGTTTCACTTACACATGGACTTTTGCTTCAGGTATCCACTTCAAGTGAATGCATTGTGCATTGCCAGTCCTTCCCCAAGAAATTAAAACTATTGTCCTGTTCTTTTGATATTTGTGTCTTATAGGGAAATTTCTCTATAATTCCTGTGCTGTAGCCTTAACAGGAAGTGAGTATATACCTTTGCAATGTGAGTGAAATGCCCTCTTAGAAAAGTTTCAATAAACAAGTGTTCCCATTGCAAGATTTCCCTTCTATTCCTGGAAATAATTGCATTTCCACCTTCTGAACTGTGGGAGACCCAATATAGTGAATATCTGTAGGGCCTACCCTCATGTTGATTCTAAAATGGTTATCAGTAGGGATGGGTTGAACTTTCCTAGGTTTGGTTCAAGCAGGGTTCGGCGAAACTTCAAAGAAGTTTTGGCGCCAAACCCAAATCCTATTGAAATCAATGGGAGCTGAATCTGTCCAATTAAAAGTGCCCTTTTTTTTGGGATAATAATCAAAAGCTAATTGTTAAATATAGCATGGGTGGGGTACTGTCCTGAGGAATATGTTTAGTTTTTTTAAAGCACAAAATTTACAAAAGAAAAATGGTTTTAAATTGCATTACATTACATTTTTCTTCTTGTAACTGTTTAAAAAAGGGCACACAGAGCCCTTTAAAGGTCTCCAAAAATATTTGAGGGGCCTTTGGGAGATCTGGTATGGACTTTCAGAGTGTACCTCATAGAAAGATGTATAAAAAGTTTGAGGTCCTCCAAAAAATCTATACCAGACCCTTAATCTGATCATGCAGCCTGGCTGGACAGGAAAGGAGGGAACAAATATGCAGCCCCCTTCTTGAACCGTGCTGGGTCACATGCCCTCTAAATGAGGGGTGCCTTGCCAAGGTGGTCCCCCCCTGGCAAAGCACCTGGTCTCCACACTGATTACAACAAGGGCCTCTTCTCCACAATCTTGGCTGGTGGTTGTGGAAGTGTGCTCATGGAGGCCTATTGGAATCTGGAAACCCCCCTTCAAATATTGCCTTCTCCCATGATAGGCCTTCTGCCAACTCACTGAAATACAAATTATGGACTCGGTGCAAATGACAAATCCTGACAATAATACTTGCTGAATGACAGCTCCCTGATCTATCATCAGTTATATAAAGGAAGAAGAGGGGACAGTAGTGACAGCATTGTCCAAATATGTCCAGTGACTATATTTGAGATGTGATGTCACTGCTATCCCCACCTCTTTGATTGTGTCTGGGCATTCCCAGTCATGTAAGCTATATGCTAGTGACAGCGAAGATTGCTAGGGATGCAGTAGTTGCCAACACCTGCTGCTTCCTTGGGAACCGCTGACCATTCTGAGCACATTCTGTTCAACAAAATTGTCTAAACACCAGAACAACTAAAGTTCTGTTCAAACCTAGGTTTGGATCAAACCGTTGATCTATCTCTGGTGACCAGGATAATTCGAGAATGAAAAAAAAAAAACACCTAAAAATGGACCTTTGGATCTAAGTTCAAACTTGGTATAAAAAAACATCCCTTAGGCCTCATTTAGATAAGTAGTGAATGATAAAGGCTAGGGTGAAGCATTCAGATGTGACTAAACTCCACATCTAAATGCAGTAGCACTCTGTGCTATGGCTGTATGCATGCAAACATGACTATTAAATGCATCCAGTTTGTGTGCATTCATATCTGAGTCCAGGTCAAGTCCTTAGTCCTATGTCACTGCTTAGATAAGTGGTTATACAGTATGTGAGCAGTGGTGCTGACAATTGATCTTGTTATACTACAGAGAGTAACACACAGAGTGTGAATGGAGCTAGTTTATCTGCCAGAAAGAATCTTAGGTCCTCACCAGCATAAGACTAAGTATGATGGTTCATATATCGTATTACTAAAAATAAATGACACTGGAGAAATGCAGGGTGTGAATAAAAGCAAAAAAAGTAGTTTTTACTCAAAATGCACACTTGCTAAACAACCTTAGCAGTGGAATAGCTGTGTTCCATTTTAAGCCAGGTGATCAAAATGGTTGTAAAGGCTAAAGGTTTTTTACCTTCATGCATTCTACGTAAGAAGGTAAAAAGCCTTCTGTGTGCTGCTCCTTCCACAGTCCCTCTAATACTCTCCTGAGGCCCCTTTTGACCCAGCAATGTGTACAGGAGCTTTGGCTATCAGAGGTCTCTCTCTCCTCATTGGCTCAGACACAGCAGCGGAAGTCGTTGGCTCCCATTGCTGTCAATCATAGCCAGTGATTCAATGAGGGAGAGAGTGGGAGGAGGGGCTGAGTCACAGCTCGATATGTCTTATGGATGCATAGAGCAGGACTCGGGAGTGAGCATGCACCAGTGCCCTTACCAGTGCTTGCTATTGAGGGCACTGGTGAAAAAGGAGGAGCCAGGAATTTCAGTGGGGTGGGGGACCAGAGAAGAAGAAGATCAGGGCTACCCTGTGCAAAACCATTGCACAGAGTAGGTAAGTATGACATGTTTGTTATTAAAAAAATTAACCTTCAGTATTACTTGAACCAAACCTTTTAATATCGCTTTAATGCCAAATGCTGTAAACCATGTTCACAGACTTCTAATTTAAAAGAGTTCAACAGTTTATGTTTCTTTTGGACAAACCCTGACAGTTTGTTCTTTGATTCTTTCATTTTGCAGGCATGTCTTTTTTTCACACTAGTAAATGATAGACAAATTTACATTTGTTATAAAGTTTCATGTCTCCAGACTGTCATTTCAATTGCATGTAAATATTTTGAGTATGCCTCTTTGTACTTTTTGAATGCCTCTTTGTGGAATTTGGTTCTTAGCTAAGGATGAGTGAAATAGGCAGGATTTTATTCACAGTCTGTTCGTTGAATGCATTGTACATTTCAGAAACTGCAAAAATTTATCTGAACCCCATTAATGTCATTTTGTATGTGTGTGTAAATCATAAAAATAAACTCTGGCCATTTACAGGGCTTATAGTATAAGGGTTGTCAAACAAAGGGCATGGGAGCTGTGAGATGCCTTTAAGCTACACATGGTTTTAACATACAGTTGCAAGAAAAAGTATGTGAACCCCTTGGGATTACGTGGAGTTTTGCATGAATTGGGCATAAAATGTGCTCTGAACGTCATCTAAGTCACAACAATAGAAGAACACAGTCTGCTGAACATAATACTACACAAACATTAGATGTTGCCATGGTTTAATTGCCCATAACATGTAAACATTCACAGTGCAGGGAGGAAAAGGTATGTGAACCTTTGGACTTAATAACTGGTTGACCCTCCTTTGGCAGCAATACCCTTAACCAAACATTTCCTGTAGTTGCAGATCAGACCTGCACAATGATCTGGAGTAATTTTGGACCACTCCTCTTCACAAAACTGTTTCAGTGTAGCAATATTCTTGGGATGTCTGGTGTGAATCGCTCTCTTAAGGTCATGCCACAGCATTTCAATCGGGTTGAGGTAAGGACTCTGACTGGGCCACTCCAGAAGGCGTATTCTGTGCTGTTGCACTCATTGTTTTCTTGAATTACTTGTATGCTTTGGGTCATTGTCCTGTTGCATCACCCATCCTCTGCGGAGCTTCAGTTGGCG